ATATAAATTTCAGCCCTGGTTTCAGAAAGGGCTCTGTAAGTGGGTAGAGGTGATGAAACCCTTTAAATAAAGGCTCGTTCAGAACTAGCCAGAAGCACTGCTGGTTTTTGTGCATGTATTCTTCATTTTAAAATGTCACTAACTTCTGTAGCGGCTGCCAATAAAAGTTTTCTTTTAATTATTTTTTTATTTCGAGAGTTATGTTCAAATGTTCTGTTTATTGCCAAGCGGCACTTTTTCACACACTGAAATATTTTCTTCTGAGTCAAATAAAGTATTTCAAGCATAACAGCATGTACGGTTTGAATTGCTTACCTAATACTGGAGACTGACACTTGTCAGGAGTAGGAGCTGACATTTCTCATTATCCATGAGGGAAATGCACACTTCAGGCATCCCTTTGTGCCTTTGGTAATAATATTGTGAATTCCTTGGCCTGGGAATAATCAGGCTCGCAGTGAGACTGTACAGGTCAGACTGCAGGACTGAAATAATCTTTTTTCCCTCTGTTGTTTTGGTTTTTTCTTTTTACATGCTTACTATTTCTCAAATGTTCGCAGGAGTATTCTTTTTACTGTTTTTCAGATCCCTTTCAAAATACTTTAAGAAACATAATTACATTGAGAACCAAAATTCTGTTCAGCATGATAAATATTTCCAGGCAAATGAAACCAGTTCAGATAACCTTGAAAATGAATCTGAACATTAAAATACTGCTCAATATGTGCAGCTAAAATAGCTCATCTTAAACAAGAATTCTCTTGGTAAACTGTTCTTTCCTATTCCGTTCCAGGTTTGGTTGCAGAGAAGCCTTGTCCTGGTTTCTGTATGAATGTTCCAGGTTTATTTCACTTTGCATTCTCACTGAGAGCAGTGCAAGCACCACCATGGGCAGGGTGGGTTCTGAGGAAGCAGCAGCTCTCCCTGCCCAGCCTGCCCTTGCTTCAGGCAGCAAGGAAAAGGAACTCTCTGAATCTCCTTGAACTAAGTGAGGCAGAATTAGAAGAACAGTTTGTAAGAGGGGATGGCCCAGGAGGTCAGGCCACAAACAAGACAAACAACTGTGTTGTCCTGAAGCATATTCCATCTGGGATTGTGGTGAAGGTAATTGGGTTTTGTTTTATTGAGTCACAAACTGCATCAGGACTTCCAAGTCTCCTTTCAGAATGAAGCATAATCACAGTGCAGGTGGCATGAAGTTAATATTTATATATATATATATATATATATATATATATATATTTATTTATTTATTTATTTATTTATTTATATTTTATATTTATATTGTAAAGGGTCTCAGCAAGAAGCAGTCTTGGCTGTCAGCAGATCAATAACCCTGAGGTCAGAGCTCCTTTTCCTGACTTTGCCACCCAGTTACAGTTTTGTAGTTTCCAATTAAATTAATCTTCATTGTAGCTGTCACGTTCCTGTCCCTCATGTGAGTTAGAATCTCTTCCTTAGCACTCTGCAGATCCCTTTTAAGCATTTCTCTTACCTACTTCTTGTGGATAAATACCTTGAAATTAATCTTTGCTTCCTGTCACAAGGGGAAGACACAGTTAAGTTCAACTCAAGCAGCTTTCCTGGGTAAGATGGGAAGCATTAAAGATTAATGCAAAAGCCAGTCTGATGAGTTACAGTAGCAAATAATTATTAAAATATATCATCTGGATTTAAAAGTTGCAGCTGTTACTGGTGGGAGGATTCTCTTGGCTTGGGGAGGAGGGGATTTTCTTTAATGGTAGGAATGGATAGACTGAAAGGGAAAGCTGAAGAATAAACAGGTAAAAGTTTCAGTAAAAATGTTCTTTGTATTTCTTCAGTGTCATCAGACAAGGTCAGTGGAGAAGAACAGAAAGATTGCCAGAGAAATCCTGCAGGAAAAAGTTGACCTTTTCTACAAAGGAGAAGACAGTGATGTTTTTAAAGAGAAGAAAACATCAGAAAAGCAAAAGCAGGAGAAAAAAAGAAGAGCAAAGGAAAACCTAGAAAGGAAAAAGCTTTTTAAAGAGATGCAACAATTGGATAAGGAATAAATGTGAAATATTGCCTTGCCCTGGCAGGGTAAGAGAATTGTTTGTCATTAGACCCAAACACTTTTCCAGCTAACAAATGATGCAGGGCTTCATAAGCACAGCTGAAACCCCAGTGCTGACCTGCTGTTCCTGCAAAGCTGAGCAGATAAAAGCACTCATGTACTCCTGCTTCTCCCTGCCATCATCTCATTAATCACATCCAGCAATCACTTTTTCTGCCAGGTCCAGCAGATAAAGGAATCCTTGTTAAAGAGGAGCCATAAGCTTTCCACCATTGTTAGCACAGACCAAAAGAAATCAATAGATTTCCTCCTGTGCAGATGACACCTTGGGCTGCTTCCTGGGAGCTCCAGCACACGAGAACAGCACTGAAAGGTTCTCACTTCCCACCCTTACCCAGGCAGTGCCTTCAGACATAAATCCCTCACAAATGGGACCAGGTTTGGGTGCTGGTTAAACTGAGCTGCTGCTGGAAGAGACACCAGTCACTGCTTCAGAGCTGAACAAGCCCTGTCCTGCTCAGCTCTGGGTAAAATTCACCCAGCAGCTTTCCAGAGCTTACCTGGAGTGGTGCTGAGCACTGGGGCACAGGGAGGGCCTGTGCAGGTCAGGGATGGTCACTCATGGCCCTCCAGTTCAGGGTAAAACCGAGTCATTACAGATAAAAAATGACCTCTGTTGGAAGCTGCCTCCCAAGGCAGCAGAGTCCAGTCCATCCAAGCTGGGAATTAATTAATTAGAGTTGTTTGTTATGTTTATGCTGTGCTGCAGTTCAGCTTGGCCGTGTTGGTGCCTTCACTCATTTTGACAGTTTCCCATTTTATAGGAACAAATGCAGCTGTGTTTCCTTTGTCACCATTCCTCTGAAGTGCATTTTTCCTGGTTTTATCCTGTTAACAATTCCAGCAGCTTAACCAGAACTTATCTTTCATTTTTGGACAGCACCCTCACCAGCTGCCACCACCTTTTGGCCTTCAACAAAGCCCCAAAGCCAGAGTGAGGATTTTGAAGGAACTTCACCTCCTTGTCCCAGAGACAGCTGTGCCCTGTGCCATGGATGGATGCTCCAGCAATCTGCAGGTCCCTTCCTTGTTCTTTCCTAAACTCCTGCATGAAGGTTAAATTTTCATCTGTTGGCAGCCCTTGCTCCTGGAGTATGAATCTGATTAAAGTGACTGTACATAGTTTTAATACAAACTGTTAATGAAAATAAGCTTTATTACGTCAAGTAATAAATACATACAAAGATGCAAATAACAGTTTTAGTAATTTATCCAGAATGTTCATTTTTCTTTTCTTTTTTTTTTTTTTTGCAAACTTTAAACTGAAATCTCCAGCCTTAATGTAGAAATTAGCTTTCCAGGACCTTGTTATTATTTAATAGGTTTCCCTATTTTCCATATAGCTCATGCACTTTAAGTGGACTTCAAAGCACTAACAGTCATGCAAATGTTTATGCAAAATGAACAAAAAAAGGAAAAATAAGAGAAGGGGAAGGTTATTTCTAAGCAGGGTCTATGCTGTATGACAAATTGTGACTTAGCAGACTACTAGGTACAGCATGCTATTCTGCATTTATTTAAAAAAATCCTTAGAGTTTATGTCAAACTTTGAAAGATTGACGTTTTGGGGATAAGTGAACATAGTCAAAGGAAAAACAAAAAACAGAATGAGGCTGTGGCTGGATAAGAAGAGAACTGAAATATAGCCTGGGAGAGAAAGAGCATTCCTCTGCATGCACTTCAGTTTCCATGTTTTAGAAACATTTTAGGGAGTTTTAATGTCTTTAGAAAATGCAAACCCTCAGTAAGGTGAAAAATCCTTGGGGTTTTTTTTTTTTTTTTTCCCCATTCTTTAACTGTACATTTTTGCAAGGGCAAAACAAGAACGGTAAAACATTCAAAATAAAGGAGTTTGTGTGAATGTTTCCAGAGTCAAAAAGAAGAAGTGTTACTTTTTCTTCCCGGGGAGAAGGAGAGCCTGGCCCTGCAGCTGGGCTAGGACCTGGCGTTCCGCTCCGTCTCGGCCAGGCACTCCCGCACCAATCCTCTGGCGTGGATAATGCCTGCAAGAGAGTTGCTGGTTGAAATCATCCCATCCAAAGTGGTTTAAATCCCCCCACTCAGGCAGTGCACAGAAAGGTTGATGTGTGTGGGATCTCAGCACCTCAG